AGCACTCACTGCAGTGCAGTGCATCTGCTCCCTGATGACAGCTGTGATTAGTCATCTCTTCATGCCCTGCTTTCAGCTGGGATAGAGTTAATTTTTCTTCCTAGTAGCTGTTCAGTGCTGTGTATTCACTGTGAGAGCAGCACTGCTAACACCCTGATGTGGTAGTTGTTGCTAAGGGGTGCTCACTCCAAATCAAGGACTTTTCAGTTTCCATGCTCTGCCCCTGAGGAGGTGCACGAGGAGCTGGGAGGGAGCATGGCCAGGACACAGACCCAAAGTAGCCAAAGGCACATTCCACAGCATAGAGCACCATGCCCAGTGTATAAACTGGGGAGGTTGGCTGGGAGCTCTGGTGGCTGCTCAGGAAAGTGTTGGGCATTGGTCAGCAGGTGGGGAGCAGCTGTGTTGTGCATCATTGGAATTCTGGGGTTTATTTTTCTCTGTCTTTTTGTTCTGTCCTTTTTAATTACAGTTATTTTTCAAAGATTTTTTTGTTGTTGTTGTTATTAAACTGTTCTTATCTCAACCCACAGGTTTTACCTTCTTTTTTCTTGATTATACTTCCTATTCCACTGGGAGAGGTGAGGGAGGTGAGCAAGTTGCTGCATGGGACTTAGTTGCTGGCTGCGGTTAAACCATAGCAGTTTGCAAGAGATTTGGTTTTGAGCTCTTCCAGTGCCTCTTAGGACACCCTTTTCAAATTATTTTCTGTGAACTCCCCAATTTGCCCTCTGCTTTGTTTTTGTTATTGTGGAAAGCTGTGATGCTCTTTATCCTCACCATTAAGTTAAAGGATGTGCAAGTAATAACTTTTGCTACTTTGGTATCCCCCCTAGCAAAACGGTCTGGTGGTTCTTTTATATCATGGATTTCAGGGTGGCAATCTTTGTTCCCAAAAATTGAGACACAACAGGAACATCTGTGTTTGCCATCTGCAAGACATTTCCTTCTATGATCCCAGGGCTAGTTACAGGGCTTCCAGCCATTCCTGCTGCCTGTTCCCCTGGGTGCACAGGGAGGAGACAGCAGGTTTGTAACTATAACACTGCTGCATGTCATTCTGAACTCTTCAGCACATCTTGCTGTCACTGGAACACAGCCTGCCCAGGTCTGTTTGAACACCCAGCATCTCCTCTCAGTTGTGTCCAGCCACTGGTGCCTGCATCCCTTTTTATGCAGCCTGCTTTTTGCTGTTAACAGCAAGGTGCTGACCCTGACAAAGCAGCCAGGTATTGTGGAAAAGAGCCTTCCCTATTACTGGCCAGCCATTATGTGCTTGGAGAGGTTTTCAGGTTTAGATTTTTTTGAGAAGGTCAAGAAATGATTGTTTGGGGTTTTTTTTTTCCCCTCTGCAGAATTATTTCTGAACATAGCAGTATTTATTGCTTACTTTCCTAACTTCTTTAATCCTGCAACTGCCATTAGATAAAATAATGAACCAAGTTACTTTTTCATGAAGGCAGTGTAAATATTTGTGTTCCACTGTATTCCAATAAAAAAATGTTGTCATGGATTATTGGCAGTAAATTATTTTAAGTTATACATTTGAAATTGAACAAAACTACATATGAGAAACTATCTATCTTTGGTTATTTTTCATGAAGCTTCTTACCCTTTTATGAGTGTTGCTATGAGATCTGAATCTTAGTGTTCCTATTTTCATTTTCAGTTTCTTCCTTTTTCATTTCTATTGCAAATGCTTACTACTGAGAAATTAAACAGTTTCCTGCATTCACTGCTCCCCTTCCCATCTTCTAGTTCTGGCCTGATTCTGACAGTATAGTTTATATGTTGTCACTTGTAGTGGTCCACTGAGTGAATTACAATTCTCTTCTTTGAGTTCTGCATTTTACATTCGACTCTTGAATGGTAGTTGGGGAGGAAGAAAGGCACAGTCTCAAATAAACCCCTCTTTTTTTCCTAATTTTTAGAATTTATTTGCTACTCTGAGGTGAAACAAATGAAATGCTCTTTAATTTCCATTGTGCTGTTTATCTCAAAAGCAGATTTTCTATTTGATAGAAGTGTTTTGAAGCATTGCTCCCAAGTATCACTGAGACCCCCATCTACATAGAAAGTATAAAAACAAGTAGGACATTTTACACCTATATTAATAACTTTTCCATACAGAACTATGGCATACTTTAACCTGTAAATTCTTCCCCAATAGATGGCAATGCTTTTACTCAGGCACAGTGATCTCACAATTCATAGCCTACTTTCTTTATATAGGGTACATTTATCAATTAGGATGGAATAGCTCCTTCAAGGATGTTTCATAGGCAATTTGTTTTCTTTTTGAATAGATGGAGAAAATCTCAAGCAATTTTCAAGATCCTGAACAGCTTGAAGAATTAAAAATGGGTGACCATAATTTCTTTAAAGTAAAAAAAGAACTTCACTAAGTTGTGAACATTAAATTCTTTCTTGCTTTGAGAATTCTCAGTAAATTTCAGGTCTCCAGGACCTTGCTTTTCACACTGCTTAACTTTCATGAGCCTCTGGCAATAGGCTGGTGATATCAGAAAGTTGAAACCTGAGAGCTGTTTTTCAATAGGGTTTTTTAAAAGGTTTCATTGGATTGCAAGTTTGTAAATATGGTACAAAATGCAGGAAGTTTCAGCTCCCTCCCAGCACGTTTTCGTTTGGAGTAGCAGTTCAGGCTATGTGCTGCAGTTCTGAACAGAAGATATTTAGAGCCATTTAGACTTGACTACCTACGGTGATGTTTCTAAATACATTTCAAGCTATTAGAATGCAGAGCCATTGGCTCTGTAGGAGGAGCGCTGAGTGGTCTGGCACTCTGATGACTAAAGATAAACTCTTTAACAGCCTAAATTTAGGCACCTCATTTTAAAAACTTTGGCCCAGATATGTGAACCCAGAAGAATGAGATACGATAATTCATTTCAAATTCCCTGGCTCTTGCGTCTCCCCAGCCTGAGCATTTATTCATACAAATTGCTCACTGTTGCAGATGAATCACTAAATGTAGCCAGTGCAATAACTCTGCACCTGAGCATTATTTCATTCTGCTTTGCTAATGCTAGCAGCACTTTGCTCTTTCTCTGTATGTTACAGCACCTGGCTACTTTGGCTTTGTCTGGATATATTTGGGAGATGAATAGGGAGAAAATGTACACATTTTTGCCCTCCTGTTCATCACTGCTATCTTTCCTAAGGGCTGCTGTTCCTCAGGTGGTGAGCTTAATGTTCCTCCCAGCTTAAAACAAATGCAAGGGAGGCAATTATCAAGGGGATAATGCTCTTCATGATGAAGAGAATTACTGCGTTCTGTCTGTGTTGATTTTCCTTTTTCAATGAGTTTGCAGTTTCTCTTGGGATTTTTGTCTCTTTAAAGGAGTATTTGGCTTGGGAACATGAGAAATAGATGGAGGGGTATGTGTGTTGCCCACAATTTTCTCTTGCGGTTGTATGAGCTGCACAAATGAGCAAGATTTTAAAACACAGTTACTTAAGCAAGTAATTTATACCTTTTTTAAGGATACAGTGTAAATTAAGATTAATGTTAAAGACGCTGGTGTTGGCTACTTAGTGAAGTTTTACCTCATATTTTTGAAGGAATCGGATATCCCTTAGCCTATATCAAGGATGGATCTCTTGTCATTCCAGTGCAGCCTTCGAAGTCGTGGGCGTTTATTCTAAGCCAGTCATCTGTAGTCAGTGTCATAAGAGAAGGTGATTCATCCCATCTGACACTAAATATCTGAGAGGCTTATTATGCAAATGTGTTCTGAAGAGGAAGGTGGTTGATGATGTTCCTGCTCAGCCCAGTGCTACAGTCTACGGAGCCTCTGAGTACCACTGCAGTCTTTTTTGGCATACTGTGGAAATTATCCAGGTTAAAAACCAGTAACTGGAAATATTTTGTTCATTTGTAATTTTCTGTACTTTTTTTTTTTTTTTTTAACTGGGTTCATTTCAGTGATTCATAGGGCCATTTATAACAGAGAGATAAGAATATCTGTTCGATAAATGCGGTCATACTGGCACAGACAAAAGAAGTGGTTGAAGGCAGGAAGATTCTAAACCGTGTAATGAACTGCCTCCTGAAATACATGTGTGCACTGTTGTATTAGAAGAGACGAACACACTGCAGTAATTGTTTAACCATGTATTAAGCAGGACATTAACAATATCACTGGCAGTGTAGTGTAGATCTCTCCATGCTTGCTATCACTTTATTAGACTACTAAGTGTCTTGAAATGAGCTTATCTATGTCAAACAAAGGTGACATTTAGGAACTTGTGTGTTTATTGTGAGATCCTTCATCTGAGGTTTTCTCTCAGTACTAGTAGTGCAATCTTCTCCAGTTTTAGCTTCCCAGTGGGTTACACATGTATGGATAAATATGCAAACTGCTGAGATGGGATGTTTCTTCATAACATGTAGTGATTATCCAAGTTCATACTAAGAAGAAAATAATATGCAAATAACTTTTTCTTGAGCCTTATGTAAATATGAGGAGAAGATGAACTCTCATATAAATGTGTGAACTTCACTTGAGCACCTCATTGTTGTGTTTTTAATTAACTAGGTTAGTTAACAGATTAGCTACCAGAGGTGTAATGAGCCAGAGACAATATATTTTGGGAGGCAAATTGAAAAGAAACCCAGCTGAGGAGGATGCATTAGATATATCATAGAGAAGTTAGATCTCCTGAGCTGCATGTTCTGTGCAGTTATTTATCACAGGATCCTTTATGCTCATGTACCAGCCTGTCCCAGTGTGCTTTTGTGGTACAGGACACAGGGCACTTTGGTTTAGGAACTGAAGTCAGAGGAAGGTGGCTATCCCCAATTAGTGTTCCATGAAGCAGCAGAGGAAGAGCTGAATAGAACTATATAGAAACAATATCAGTAGCAATGAAAACAGTCAAAATGAGCTTTATAGTACATTTTTATGTAAGTTCTTTCTGGAATATATTTTCCATTGTTTTATTTATTTTTATTATTATGTTTCTTTTTATTTTTGTAGGCTGTGGAAACCAACCTTGCATCAAAGGATAGTCACTGGGTCTATGTAAATGAGGTAAGAAAGTCAAAAGAGAAAACACAGCTTGCTACATTCACTCATCACCATCTTTTGTTTCATATGTTTTGACACACCAGATTGAGCATACATGTAGCATTTTTGCTTTTTGAATGGCACAAGGTTCAAACTCCGTGGTGTCATTGCTTGTCTGTCTTAGTTGAATTGGCATAGGTTGGACACCAGAGGTCAAGATAAAGCTTCCAATATACCTCAGAGCAATTTTATCTTCCTGCTGACACTATTTCATTAGCTATTTAGGAGGCAGAGAATATCTCAAAAGAAATCTCAAACACAGGCATGTCCCTGGCAGAAGCTCACCCTCCTTCACCCTGCTGTGCAATCTGCACACAGATGCCAGGAGACGAAAGAGCCCTTGCAAGCTTAGTCCATTCAAATATGTATTTACATGACACACAGGCTTTCTCTAGTGCAGAACTGTGTTGGTGTATTGGCCAACATCCAGAATAACTTAAATTCAAAATGTAATGTTTCTCTCTGCAGCAAGTGGGATCCTGTCCTGCTACAATGATTATTTATTTTACCTTAGTGCCATGATGCCCTAATGAGAATCTGTTCAGATTCTTATTTCAAGAACAATGAAATGTTGTACCATATAAAGTAACTTATAAATCACTGATAAATGGCAGTATTTTATAATTTCCTTGTTTAAATAATGATTTATTTAAAGATAGCAAAATATATAATTTAAAAAGAACGGTGTTCACTGTCTTATTTTTACATTATAAATACATAGCCTCTAATTTAATAGCCAATTCCTTTGTTAATTTCTCCCTCCTTTCTTTGCACCTAGCTAATAATTTTGGATAGGCAACTTTTAATAGTAACTATAAATTGTATTGTATGGCATTAGACAGGCTCTGTAATTAAATAGGGGTTAGGAAAAGCGAGTGAAATCCCTGCTTGTAAAGGCTTTATAAATTCTTTCTAGTCCTTTTTACATTTAAGTACCTCCTGGTTTGTCAGCTGCTGTAATGACCCACTACAAAACATCAGCAAGATGCCCAGAGAGTCAGTGTTTATATTCACATAAAGATAATACAGTGCATATTTCCCTAAACATTTATAGAGGGGGAGTGTTTGTGAATTTTTTATTGCTTCTGTTATTGTTCAGATGTTAAAATTCACTTCACAAAGCATGAATCTGAAACATTGTGGTAAAAGCCTTCAGCACTCATGCACTAATGTGTGCACACTCATACACACACAAACAAATCACACAGGGTGTCAGTTCTGCTTCTCTTTTGGAAGCTTTTGTTTTTTTCTCCTTTGTGACTGAAGACTGGGTAGGGAAGCTATGGGAGCAGCATGTGAATTTAGAGTATAAATTTCTAGTGAAAAATAGCAGTGCACGTAATTTATAAATTTCTCAAAATGCAATTCAGTCCAAACAGACTATTAGAGAAGCTTTTCAGACTCACAAAACTTTGGAGAAGTCTTTGCAGGCAAAAGGAAGAGGAAATGTCTTGGCTTTGGCTGTCCTTTCTTTAACAGAAGTGCTGGAGTTTGTGTGTGTGCTTAAAGCTTCTGTTGGAAGGTGCATTGAGCATCTCCATGGATGCATCTATAGAAATTTGGAGGTTCCTTAGGGCTTGCTTCTTATTTAAGTGTGCATTCCCCCCATGCTAGCAAGAGGACAGACTGATTAAGCTTTCCATGTACATGTTTCCAATTAGTGGTACTGGGAACTGCATGAATATTTGCTGGAAAAGGTGATGCTGATTCTTACTGTGATTTGCGGAATGGAATTAACTTTTAATTCCCAACTGTCAAATCAGCTGTTTTTGATGCGTTTCCATAAGAGTAGAAGTCCATTATGCAAATGGACCAAAGTCTTAGCCGGTCCTTTTTTTTTGTGCCTGGGCAGATGGAGGACCCTACATTTCCCTGTTCACCCTGAAACCTAATGATCCCATTGCAAGGGAAGAAGGGTGTAGGTCTGGCTGATTGAAGGGGCAGTAGCTGGAAGAGAGCACAGGGACAATTTTTTCCATGGTGGTTCCTTGTAGGAAGAGCACTGGATGGCAAACATTTTTTAAGGCCTTTTGCACTTCAGGGAGCCATTGAAGGGCTTTGTAGAGCTTGGGCTTTTGAGATCTGCTGACCCAGAGCACCCTACAGTGTGCTCTGTCTCCCAGTTCTCATCAAGCCAATGAGGACCTGGAACTTGGACTTACCTTGCTACAGGAAGCATAACTATATAGCATGATGTTATTTCAGTAAGGGATTTTATTGTTTTCTTACTTTAATTAAATCTACTTTACTCTCTCTGCACTGACAATCTGATAAAAATTTGTGTTCTTTTTTTTTTTTTAATTATTATTTTTTTTCCCTTGTGTGCCTTCCCTTGTGGTAGAATAGGAGTTAAGTTTTGGAGGTAGAACAAATTTTATCACTTAAATTTTGCTAGATAAGCAAAACCACCAAGCTTTGGATGAGTTAACTTTAAATCTATATAACTGGTAATTACACGGGAAATGAGCAAACAGCTATACTGATAAAATCCTGTTTGCTAGTTTTCAATAACCCAGGTCTGTGCTGAAGTATCTGTTCAGTTTGGATGCCATTGCTGGTGAGAAAGGACTTGGTCATCTTTAGAAAAAGGCTGGTTAATTGGGAGTTAAATTTATTGTGTGAGGTTGGAAGGCTGAAAATTTGGCAGGTTTTCTAGGGTAAGAGAATACAAAGGGATGGGTCTTTTCAGGCAGTATCATGTCCTCATATGTCCTCTTTGCAGCCTAAGTCATAAAAAACTTACTGCTTAAAAAAAATATATATTTGTTGTCCACTTTTCTGGTTTCTAACAGGTTATGTTTCAATATCGCAATAGCAAAATCTTCCAAATGATGACTACTACATGCTTAGCTGTGTTTCCAGAATAGTCCAAAACACTTCATTATTGTTGACTGTGTGGGGAGTTGTCAATGACCTGCAGTTTTGGAAGATCTTTTAGAACATATCTGGTGTTCTGCTTGTACCTTTGCTGTTTATACCTTTGATGGTTGAAGTGACCCACCAGCTTTGATCAACTTGTGCTGCTGCTTCTTTTGGCAAGACTGGCACAGTTAGAGATGGCCCCTGTTTTTTGGATGCTTATTTCCTGCTTTTCTACCCAGTTTTCTTTATTATTTTTTTTTCTCCTTTCTTTGTCTTTCATACCTGGCATTAAGCATCTCTGTTGGCTCCTCATGACATTTTTCATTCTCTCCTTCTCTTTTTCTGCCTTTTCTGATAAAATGCTGTGCCTTGCCCAGGGCATGTGTCTGTGGGAGAGGTACAAGAGCAATACTTGAAACTGAATTTGGATGATGTTGTACCAGGAGCAGTGCTCCAGGAGCTTGTGTCTGCTTCTTTATTAGTAGCAGCAGTAGGTCTGGGAGTATAAAAAAGTGTTAGAAACCATATTTCCCTTTTTGTGGGACATTTCATGGTTTTAAAATTGTCTCCATTCCAACGGTAAAGAAAAAATAAATTATTCTGGAAAACTAGAATATTGAACAAAAATATAATCAAATTAAACTCAGTATTTTTTCCCCCTCATATCAATATATTTAATTCTAATTCCAAGGTTCTAAACATTCTCTATTTTTACATGTAAATTAGTACAGAAAGCAATGAACTTCTCTTCCTGGAATGGTACAGAATTTGGCAGATAATTCAAATTAGTTGTTCCACTATTAAGACATAATTTCTGTAATTTATTTTTTAACTTCTTTTTTATTCAGTATTTTAATCAAAAGCTGTAAGACATAGTCTGGCAAAGCACAAGACTACTTGTTGATATAGGAGAACACTTTTTGTGAAGGGCAGATAGGGATCAAAAAAAGGCAATGTAGTAATGTAGTGTTACATCAAAAAACATCTGTACCCACTCTGAACCTGAGGAGAGGTGAGGGAAAAACTTGTTTGGAAATATGCAGAAGACACTGTTTTTAAAAGTGCCTTTTTTTTTTTTTTTTTTTTTTTTTTTTTTTTTTTGACAGAAATGCCCCAAAGACAAGAAATTAAAATAAAGGAAGATTTTAATTTCCTTGCAGTGGAGATAATAGGGTTGGGACACAGACAGAGCTTCACAAATTTCCTTTGATTGACGTTATCTGTGCATGTTTAAAATGTTAAGGCAGCCATCAGTTCAGATTTCATTATGGCTGAGGAAGAATGGGCTAAGGAAGCCAGAAGGTAATTGGTGTGAAAGTGATCATGCCATGGTAACATGAACTTTTTGGAGAAAAGGGAGAGGAGGGAAAAGGACCATGGGGATAACGGACATCAAAAAATTGTCCAACTTCACAGCTTTGGGAAACTAGTAATGCTTTTGGAAAGACAACACAGTAAGTAAAGGGTGGTTGAAGAATTGTGGGATTCTCTGAAGATGAAGGCATAACAAGGTATCCTTATGGTGACAGTGGGTTATCTTCACAGAACTTGAAATCAGAGATGCATTCTAAAGAAAAAGTGATTTAAGAAAAGGGCTAGGGAAGAGTGTAAAGGAGTAACAAAGTAACGGATTATAAAATAAGGCTGTGTTGCAAAATGACTCATACCATGGATCATGAAAAGTAATAAAAAAGGCTTATATATAGCAGAAGATAAAGTGAGAGGTGATTACTTGAAAAATGGGGGTGTAATGTTTTTACTTAGTTCACTGATTCTGACTTTATAGAAACTATTAATTATTACCAGACTGTTAAGAACACCTTGTTGTAGTTCCAGTTGTTTTAGATGAATTTGAAGCACTCCACCAGGTGAGATTTAATATAGAGAAGTGCTTTTGCTCGTGGCTACAAAATGAGGTATAGGTGGTGAGCATCTTCAGGAGCAGCTTAGAATCCTTGTGGATAAAAGCCAGAATGAGAATCAGTGCTGTTGTGTTCCTGCTGAGTTAGCAAATGTAGTCCTCAGATATGATACCAGAAACATCCATTGTAAGATAAGGGAGGCAATTATTTTGCTCTGTTTGACATCAGCTTGGATTTGTT